CCATGTTTGTTATGGTTGGGGAATAATGGTAGAAATGGTACATAAGATGGAAATCACAAGACAGAATGTACATCGGGACTGAGTGGCCAATGTTCCAACTGTTGAGACCCGCCCTGTCACTTTCACACATACAGAAGTCGGACGGCGATCCTTCATGGTCGACGCAGTCGTTGGTGAGGCGACGGCCTTGGCCGACGCCCCGACTAGCTGCACAATCCGTGCGCTTCTGTCAATGATCTGGGCCTGTCTCGACCCCTTGACTGGTCTCGCCTCCCGGACTGGTCTCCTTGAGTGAGCATGTCAGTCAGGTTTTATACATAGGGACATTACGTCACGTTATGCAAGGTCACTGACCTATACACATATACATACGCAAGACCCGCCGACGTGGGGAGGTGTTAATTGACATTTACTGATAGCATTGAGAATTAAGGGTCCTGCCCGGAAGGGGGTTAATGATAAGAAGGCTACATCGAATGATTGCTGAATACATTAAACAGACAAAGGGGATAGAATTTCGCTGTACTTTAGACATATATTGAAACAAACATGTCGTTTGAATATATGAAGTGTTACAGAAACTTATTCAAATGGTTTACTCTATGACACTTCTATTAAGAAATAACTTGTCATAATCAAACAGATTTTCTTTGTTGTTGGAACAAAAATATAACCAGCATTCATTTTAGCCTCTGAACGCCTGCTCATTGACTGGGTAAACACTGTCAGGTCACCATATGACAACCTGTGAACATCCGGGTTGGACTTGATCTTTAGCAATTCGCGAGCGTGAGCGACGACTAACATGCCATTGTATCACAGTTGCGTAGATCGGTGCTCGTGATGTTGATCGCTTAATTGTTTGGTCGAGACTCGGTCATTTACATACCGCTACCAAAAATATTGTGGCTGGAGTATTGCTGAGAGCGGCCTTTGACAACAAACACACAAAATACAATCAGACACAGCTGATTGTACCGGGAACGCCCCGTGCCCACAGCTGTTCCAGACACGACTAAACCCATATGTTTTAGTTACAACGACAACAACGACACACGGTACAGCCAAGAACAAGGGCACCCAAGTACAAGGTACAACGACGATCATAATGAGGGAATGGCTCCTGAAGCCTTGAATATAACATCAAAGGAAATCGTCAACACAAGAGAATATTCAGTTTCCATAATCTGCCGAACGAATTAGTGTGTTTAGTTTGACGCTGTTTTGTTTTGTTTAAATATTTCGGCAATATCACGGCGGGGGACATCAGAAAGTGAGCTTCATGCATCGTACCCATGTAGGAAATCGAGCCAGTGTCTTCAGAGTGGCGAATGAATGCTTTAACGCTTTACGCTATCCAACTGCCCATGTGGGAGTCAAAAGCGATCATGTATATGGATAAAAAGCATTGATGACACCAGGTGTTCGAAAAAAGAATAAGTTAATTTGCATAAAACAGGTCACGACACACGGCAGTACAACAGAACGTCTGTGAGCTTGATGTAAGCTGTACAGGTAAGGTTAATTTGTCTTCTATGGGCGTATGTAAGTGCGCATGTAAGCGTGTATGTGTGCATCTATGCATGTACACTCAAGGCAAAAAAAAGTGGCCTGTGCTAAAAATCTCAATAAAAGCAACACAGACAAAAAATTGATTTCATATATGTTTATGTTGATAGTAAGGCCACTTGCTAAACCTTTAAAGGCTAATACAACTTCAAACACGAAGTAATGTTCAAGCAAAGTTGAATTAAATCACACTGGTATCAAATGGCAAAGTTACATATTTTCAGTTGTGTTGAACACTATCTGTGAACTCCAGATTAAAACACCTTTGTCAACGTTTAGGTGTGTATTACTTAATATGGTGTGTGTCCTCCTGCATTGATACATGCGACTACTCGCCGTCTCATTGACGTTGTGAGACGTCTAATGAAGGCATTTGGGATATTCCTCCATTCCTCATGAATGGCCTGTTCCAGTTGTTTCAGGTTTGCTGGAGGATTCAGTCTCATTCTGATTTTCCTGCCCAGAAAGTCCCAGAGATGCTCTATTGGTGAGAGGTCAGGGGAACGAGACGGCCAATGTAAAACGTTGACGTTATTGGTTCCCATGAAGTCTGTCACAATCCTAGCTGTGTGTGGAGCCTTGTCTTGTTGAAATAATGTCCCTTGGTGTTGATTAACGAAAGGAAACACAATTGGACGAATCACCTGGTCAGTGTATTGGTGTGCTGTCAGGTTGCCTTCAACTGTAACCAATTGCGTCTTCATTTCGCCACAGATACCTCCCAAAGCCATAACACTTCCAACGCCATGAGCCTGTACCCCCCACAACGCATGACGGGGCATGACGTTCGCCACGACGGCGATACACACATGTTCTACCGTCGTTATGGTATACAGAAAATCTGCTCTCATCACTGAATAGAACCCGACGTCAATAACGAAGCTGCCATCGTCGAACGCGACGTGCCCAGATCAACCTGTTCAGGCGATGTTGACGTGTCAGCATTGCTCCAAGGAATGGTCTGTGATCTCGAATTGACAACTCGATCGAGTGCCGTTGATGCCGATTCCAAAACTGTCAGGAACCAATTCCTCAAATGTAGAATTCGTAGATATCGATCTTCCTGGGGGTAGTGACCTTTGGTCTACCTGCCCTTGGTCCGTCAACAGTCCTGTTAGATGCCTATAGATGGTATGTCTGTGACAACCAAAAGTTCTTGCGACATGGCCATGAGAAGCTCCCATGTTTATCATTCCTATGACTCTTTCACGCTGTTCTGAATAAAGTCTAGGCATATCTAAAGTGTTTTCCTGTTTCACAACGTCCGTGTCATACCAACGGTCGTTAAATGCCTCTTTTTCTTACGTAGTGTGGCTTTTATCCTTAAAAAACGTGTATTTCACCATTTGCAAAAATTTCACGATTTTTTATCTCGAAGGCATTTTTTCCTAATGACAACATTATTGGTGTGTTTTTGCGATTGTTAAACAAAAGAAAATAAATTTCTTCAATGTGGAATAAATTTCATATATCAAAAATAAAATGGGCCACTTTCTTTTGGCCTTGAGTGTATGTACGTATGTATCATGGAGGGATGGATGAAGGGAGGGATGGAGGGGTGGAGAGAGGGAGGGATTGATGCGATTATCCCTTTGCATACATGAGAAAAGATTGCAAATTCTATTTTTTGACTTTTCTTTCGGATTTACATGGAACGCCTACAAAACATTGGCATGCCAACTTTTGTACAAATGAATAGGTATGAAAATAGGAAATTCATGGTACCCGTCACTGGAGTGTATGTCGTGTACGGCCACGTCAAGTTTCAGATCTCACAGTATATGTGTTGCTTGTTTGTTTGTGTGTGTGTGTTTAAGGCAACACTTAGCCATGTTCAAGCGTTAAGACGGCAGTCTGTAAATAATTGAGTCTGGACCAGATAATTCGGTGATCAACATCATAAGCTAAGATGTACGCAATTGGGATACGATGACAATTGTCAACCATGTGAGCGAGCCTGACCACCTAATCGAGTTGGTCGCCTCTTACGACAAGCATTCTAACCCAGATATTCACGTGTTCACAGCATATGACAATAGTGATGTCAGTTTGCAGTGAAATGGTAAGGATTACAATGAAACATATGTTTTGGTTTTGAATACACTTTCTCAGTAAAGTAGATATTCTAGAAAATACTTTGGGCTAAGTTCTGCCTCAGAGTGAAACGCATAATCGCCAGCACACAAAGTTAGCGATTAAAATCAGTCATAACTGTGACCTCATCCTCTTCAAAGCTTTGTGATGCAGTTTCATTGTTGGGATGTCTCTGGTGAAATATCGCTGATCTCACCCAAGCTATATGTCTCCTGTCAGTTGGTTTAATTCTCCAAACATGTTGTAACTGTTCACTCAGGATTCACATCACACTGTTGCGGTGGGCTATCCTAGTGGTTTAAGCCTTCGCTCGTCACGCCGATTGTCCAGGTCCGATTCCCCACGTGGATACAATGTGTGAAGCCCATTTCTGGTGTCCCAGCCGTGATATTGCTGGAATATTGCTACGAGGGACGTAAAACTAAACCCTCTCACTCTCTCACTCACAGTTGTAGAGGAAGCTTGCAGTCGAAGGGAGGTTACTCTGTGAGGGTAACCTCGACAGTCACAATTCTCTCAGTCTGAGATAAAATTACACAGACACTGTCTGAGACAAAAATACACTCCTTGTTAAAACATAATACCATTGAATTACAGAAATGTCCCCGTGTGTATTTACAATTCATATACGAAAAGTGGAATATTTAGCTGGTGAGTGAGTGAGTGAGAGAGCTGGCTGGGTGATCTGTTTTAAATATTTTCCAACCTCATCACGGCGAGGGAGAGAGGACATGTACTTCACAGGTTGTATCCTTTTTCAAAGGAATCAAAAAACCGTATTCGTGGCGAGCTGACGCATTAAAACTCAGCTAATCGTTCTTGGAGTATGGGAGAAAATGCGTTCAGTAGTTTTACTGGGAATATCAACTCAGGGAAATATACTCATATATCTTGCCATGTATCATCAAACAACAATAATGTTCACTTTAAGCAGATAAAAAGTTATTCAAGTCAAAAGTTATTGCAAATGTTAAAAAGCTTTTGCAGTTATATTTGGCTGCATCGTCTGTAGATATTTGCAAATAAGACAACGATTAATCTCACAGCTTTGAATTTATTTAGTAATCAAAGTAATGCACTATATTGCGTTATAGTTACATAATGCATACCTCGGTGGAGATTTTTGGTTCAAATAGATATTGTACATGAATTCCGTACCACATGACATGGACCCACAACGAGACCATAGTAAAACTGGTAGACATTTATCTCAGTATACCGAGCAGTGTCATCAAATAATCCAGTTTAGTCCTCGTCCATGTTAATGCATTAGGGAACAGTGACAATTCGATTACGATAACACTTGCGCATAAAGATCTGACACGGAAGTGACATGTACAACCAGGAAGCCGAACCTCCAGGTAGGTGTGTCCTGTTCTGTCTCAACACCTCTCAGTATATCTGTCTTGATATAGATATAGTTGCAGTGGACATCAGAGAAATATGTACGCGAAGATGCTAGATCATAAATTATCTACTTAGGTCATGATTTAAGCTTATATTGTCTAGCGTCAAATCAAACAGGTAATCCTATCATTGTCAGTCCTACTTCAGACGCCATTCCTCCTAATGTGTTGTGCACGATCCGTGTAATTTAACTCTTAAAAAGCATGAACAGATCTGTCTGACTTTGTGGCAGTTACAAACGGTGTTTATTTGGACGTATTTACAAGGAATAACCTGAATCCTGTATTTTTTAACAGGACATTGAAGTATTCAATATCGTCGCTTTGAATGCATTCAAAGGGGCGTAAACGTAGCAACGCTACAGGTAGGACAGGTTATTTATAGATGATTAACAATGCTGGAGACATGTCACGATGACCTAAACACCCAGTGATTGTGCAGTAGGGTTTGTAAGTCGGGTTGCGAGTGGGGTGACAGCACAAGGTGTGTGATATAATGGTGGAGAGGTAGTGTATAATGCAAAATTCGGGTGTGAGACAAGTGTTTAGTGGCAGATGCCACGCGGGGGATATACGAGTGGATTTGATTACTTTAAATGATTGATATCAGATGGAATATGAGAAATGGTTGGGGTGAATTAAATGGGTGTAAAGATGTAGTGAATTGTGTGTACTGGTGGATAGTGCAGGGTTAGGTATATACGATGGTGTGTAGGGGTGGATAGTGTTTGCCAGTAGATATGACACCGTGTGGGAGATAGGTGTGATTATAGATAGTTCAAGTGTTGGGTATATATGATGGTGTGTAGGGGTGGATAGTGTATGCCAGTAGATATGACACCGTGTGGGAGATAGGGGTGATTATAGATAGTTCAAGTGTTGGGTATATATGATGGTGTGTAGGGGTGGATAGGGTTTGCCAGTAGATATGACTCCCGTGTGGGGAGATAGGGTGATTATAGATAGTTCAAGTGTTGGGTATATATGATGGTGTGTAGGGTGGATAGGGTTTGCCAGTAGATATGACACCGTGTGGGGAGATAGGGGTGATTATAGATAGTCCAAGTGTTGGTATATATGATGGTGTGTAGGGTGGATAGGATTTGCCAGTAGATATGACACCGTGCGGAGATAGGGGTGATTATAGATAATTCAAGTGTTGGGTATATATGATGGTGTGTAGGGGTGGATAGGGTTTGCCAGTAGATATGACACCGTGTGGGAGATAGGGTGATTATAGATAGTTCAAGTGTTGGGTATATATGATGGTGTGTAGGGGTGGATAGGATTTGCCAGTAGATATGACACCGTGTGGGGAGATAGGGGGTGATTATAGATAGTTCAAGTGTTGGGTATATAAGATGGTGTGTGGGGGTGGATAGTGTTTGCCAGTAGATATGACACCGTGTGGGAGATAGGGGTGATTATAGATAGTTCAAGTGTTGGGTATATATGATGGTGTGTAGGGGTGGATAGTGTATGCCAGTAGATATGACACCGTGTGGGAGATAGGGGTGATCATAGATAGTTCAAGTGTTGGGTATATACGATGGTGTGTGGGGGTGGATAGTGTTTGCCAGTAGATATGACACCGTGTGGGAGATAGAGGTGATTATAGATAGTTCAAGTGTTGGGTATATACGATGGTGTGTAGGGGTGGATAGTCTATGCCAGTAGATATGACACCGTGTAGGAGATAGGGGTGATTATAGATAGTTCAAGTGTTGGGTATATACGATGGTGTGTAGGGGTGGATAGTGTTTGCCAGTAGATATGACACCGTGTGGAAGATAGGGGTGATTATAGATAGTTCAAGTGTTGGGTATATATGATGGTGTGTAGGGGTGGATAGGGTTTGCCAGTAGATATGACACCGTGTGGGAGATAGGGGTGATTATAGATAGTTCAAGTGTTGGGTATATATGATGGTGTGTAGGGGTGGATAGGGTTTGCCAGTAGATATGACACCGTGTGGGAGATAGGGGTGATTATAGATAGTTCAAGTGTTGGGTATATATGATGGTGTGTAGGGGTGGATAGGATTTGCCAGTAGATATGACACCGTGTGGGAGATAGGGGTGATTATAGATAGTTCAAGTGTTGGGTATATATGATGGTGTGTAGGGTGGATAGGGTTTGCCAGTAGATATGACACCGTGTGGGAGATAGGGTGATTATAGATAGTTCAAGTGTTGGGTATATATGATGGTGTGTAGGGTGGATAGTGTATGCCAGTAGATATGACAACCGTGTGGGAGATAGGGTGATTATAGATAGTTCAAGTGTTGGGTATATACGATGGTGCGTGGGGTGGATAGTGTTTGCCAGTAGATATGACACCGTGTGGGGAGATAGGGTGATTATAGATAGTTCAAGTGTTGGGTATATATGATGGTGTGTAGGGGTGGATAGTGTATGCCAGTAGATATGACACCGTGTGGGAGATAGGGGTGATCATAGATAGTTCAAGTGTTGGGTATATACGATGGTGTGTAGGGGTGGATAGTGTTTGCCAGTAGATATGACACCGTGTGGGAGATAGAGGTGATTATAGATAGTTCAAGTGTTGGGTATATACGATGGTGTGTAGGGGTGGATAGTCTATGCCAGTAGATATGACACCGTGTAGGAGATAGGGGTGATTATAGATAGTTCAAGTGTTGGGTATATACGATGGTGTGTAGGGGTGGATAGTGTTTGCCAGTAGATATGACACCGTGTGGAAGATAGGGGTGATTATAGATAGTTCAAGTGTTGGGTATATATGATGGTGTGTAGGGGTGGATAGTGTATGCCAGTAGATATGACACCGTGTGGGGAGATAGGGGTGATTATAGATAGTTCAAGTGTTGGGTATATACGATGGTGTGTAGGGGTGGATAGTCTATGCCAGTAGATATGACACCGCGTAGGAGATAGGGGTGATTATAGATAGTTCAAGTGTTGGGTATATACGATGGTGTGTAGGGGTGGATAGTGTATGCCAGTAGATATGACACCGTGTGGGAGATAGGGGTGATTATAGATAGTTCAAGTGTTGGGTATATACGATGGTGCGTGGGGGTGGATAGGGTTTGCCAGTAGATATGACACCGTGTGGGAGATAGGGGTGATTATAGATAGTTCAAGTGTTGGGTATATACGATGGTGCGTGGGGGTGGATAGGGTTTGCCAGTAGATATGACACCGTGTGGGAGATAGGGGTGATTATAGATAGTTCAAGTGTTGGGAGATATGATGAGTCATATGGTAACAAGAAGACACCAGTGGTAGTATAACACAAGTAAGGGGAGTATACGTCGTGGTAGATAGAGAAACAGGAAACAGGGTATGCTGGCATACATCACTAGGTGTTGGAAAAACTGATGAAGTAAATAGTGCTTAATTGAAGATAGCAGCAGCTGTAGGAGATACTGTTTACTTTATATGTGTAGGGATACGGGTAAAGTGAATAGAGTCTGCTGGTAGGTAACACAAGTTTGAGAAGATACGGGCAAAGTGAATAGTGTCTGCTGGTAGGTAACACAAGTTGGGGAGATACGGGTAAAGTGAATAGTTTCTGCTGGTAGGTAACACAAGTTGGGGAGATATGGGTGAAGTGAATAGTGTCTGCTGGTAGGTAACACAAGTTGGAGAGATACGGGTGAAGTGAATAGTGTCTGCTGTGAGGTAACACAAGTTGGGAAGATACGGGTAAAGTGAATAGTGTCTGCTGGTAGGTAACACAAGTTGGGGAGATATGGGTTAAGTGAATAGTGTCTGCTGTGAGGTAACACAAGTTGGGAAGATACAGGTAAAGTGAATAGTGTCTGCTGGTAGGTAACGCAAGTTGGGGAAGATGGGGTGACTACAGTTGGAATGATTAGTGTCTGTTTGTACACAAGATGGGCGATGGGGAGGTGGGGATACTGGTGAAGCGAACCGCATGTTATCTACCAGCAGATACAGAGTTTGGGCTAGGTGCGCGTGCCTTTGATTCAAATGCAATTGTGATCAAGTACTTCTGTTCACCGCATGTTTGTTTTCTGGAATCAATATGCCATTTCTTATGTGCAAACGATGGAAGAGAGACAACCATATTATCTGTTTCAGAATGGACGCCTTTCCCAAGTGTTCTGTCTGTCAGCAGCAGTTTACCCTGAAAGGCCCCGCCCCCTACCTACTGCCCTGTTTACACGCTGTGTGTGAGACGTGTGTGACATCAGCAGCTGGTGGTGTGATATCATGCTCTACTTGTCAGAGGGAGGTCAACCTCACAGACATAAGCCTCCAGAAGGATGCAGTGAGACAGAAGGAAATATTCCACCTGACAGTAAAACATCGCCCCACAGAGCTCCTCTGTACCAATGAAGATGACGGCAACCAGGCTGTGTGCTGGTGTCCAGAGTGTGAAGAGTTCCTCTGTGAATACTGCCAGAACATGCACAGCCGTGTTAAAGCTTCCAGAGGACATGTTGTTGAAACCTTTACGGATATAACACCGGGAAGTATGTATGCTGAATCAGTTTGTAAACTGCACAATCCTTATCCCCTTGAATATTTTGACAAAAACTGCAGCATTTTGATCTGTTACAAATGCAGACTTGGCGACCATGCTGAGCACGATGTTGGAGATGCAGATGTGGCTGCTGATGCTGCTAAAGAACGGATAGAACAACATGGGAAGAACGTGACTGCACATCATACTTCTCATCAAGCATATTTGAACAGCATCAGCAAAGCCGTGAATGACACCAAGAAGACAAGCAGTGATCTGAAGGAGGCAATCCATCTCACTTTCCATTCTCTGAGGACACAACTCGATCAAAGAGAGAAGGAGCTAATCATCAATCTTGACAATCAGACGAAGCAGGAACTGTCAAATCTACACACCGAGCAAGTTACCTCTGAAGGCGAGAGTGAACGATGCAAGTGGACCTCAGACTACATCAAGACAGTGCTAAGATATGCTTCAAACTCGGACTTTCTGACACTGGAGAGTTCAATACAAGAAACAACGAAGACACACCTCACATCACTACCTCCAGACACGCATAGGACATCTGCAGCCGTTTTCAACACGAGAGGACTGGACAAGTTGAAATCCGAAATTTCCAAATTCGGGTGTGTCACTGCATATGGCTCAGAACAAACAGGTACTTACTTGCTCTGACAATAAATCGATATATATATCAAGTCTTTCTGATGGAATCTTTGTCAGGAATATATCAGCAGTAAATATTTGATGAGCTTTCTGCGGATTATTTACCTTAATGTCACTTTTGATGGTATGATGATAATGTTCGATCTGTACATTTCTCAGTTAAACGTTAACTGTTTGATTTGTAATCATTGTTGGTCATTTTACAGACAAAGGTACACAGATAGATGATAGTCATCTAACTGATGCTGAGAGCCCAAACGAGCATGTAAGTACTTCTTAATTAGTGAACATGAGTATATATGTCTTGTTCTTTCATAAGTATTTATCATAAACAATTTACGATCAACCGAAGACATTTAATGATATTGTTGTATGTACATTAAACTGATATTTGTATGATAGATTTTAAACAAAACTACTGTTGTTTTAATCTTGAATTGTGACATTTATGTGTTTTTTTGTTAAAAAGCTGGAGTTCCTGGAGGTTTCTAATGATTCAACACCACTACATCGGTTTGGTAAGAATATTTTTGATAACACTTAAATAGGAAATAATGTTATGATAACTGTTCATGAATATTTGAAAAGGGGACATAACTCACGCAGTCACATCATTTAAATAGAAGGAGGTGTGAGTGGACTTAAAATTGTTTCAGTGTTAGACTTTAGCTGTCACTTTGACACGATGTTTTGATAAGGCTACATTGTAATCTTATACATCATCAGTACCATTCAGAAATGGACAGCAGCTGAAATGAACAGCAAGTTGAACTGCAGTTGACCATTAAAAACCACTTCGGGAATCAAATGGACTGAGAATTTGTGTTGATAGATGTTATGGTGTGTTCAAAAGAGCAGTACCCCGATCTTTAAACCTGCTATAATTCTTAAAACCAAATTCAGTTTATACTTTCAAATATATATTAGCATGTGCTCTTTCCGTGATTCTTCGACATACAGCCAGGATATATGTTGCAGAAGCTGGGCGTGAAACCAACAGGCGTGAAACAGGGACGATGACGCCGGTGGCTCTGCAGTGTGAGTACAATCAGATGCTAACTGTCTTCAACACTTGATGAAGCGACATTGTCCGCACTTCATAAACAGGATACCCATGCATGTCGTAAGAGGCGACGAACAGGATCGGGTGGTCAGACCCTCTGACTTGCTTGACACATGTCATTATATTCCAGTTGCGTAGATAGATGCTCATGCTGTTGATCACTGGATTGTCTGGTCCAGGCTCTATTATTTACATACCGCCGCCATATACCTGGAATATTACTTAGGGCAGCGTTAAATAACCAACCAACCAGCCAACCAACCAATCAATCATAAACAGGATAGGTCACTGACTGCTGTTTAAACACGGGATGCCGTACACGGGATGCCGTACACAGGATGCTGTACAAAGGGTGCTTTACACGGGATGCCGTACACAGGATGCTGTACAAAGGGTGCTGTACACGGGATGCCGTACACAGGATGCTGTACAAAAGGTGCTGTACACGGGATGATGTACTGGCCGTGCTCTACACAGGATGATGTACTGGGCGTGCTGTACACAAGATGATGTACCCGCTGCTGCTGAATCCCTTCCACACTGTATTTAGAGCTTTGTGTTTCTCTGAAGTCTTATATTGTAATAGATGTGGTTATCTTATACATAGCTCCTCCTAAACAACACGGGATGCTGTACACTGGATGCCGTATACGGGATGCCGTACACAAGTCGCTGTACTGGGCGTGCTGTACACGGATGGTGTGCCGTAATAATGCTGTAACTGGGCGTGCTGTACACGGATGCCGTACACAAGATGCTGTACTGGGCGTGCTGTACACTGGATGCTGTACTGGGCGTACTGTACACGGGATGCCATACACACGATGCTGTACTGGGCGTGCTGTACACGGGATACTGTACTGTGCGTGCTGTACACGGGATGCTGTACTGGGCGTGCTGTACACGGGATGATGTACTCGGCGTGCTGTACACGGGATGATGTATTGGGCATGCTGTACACGGGATGCTGTACTGGGCGTACTGTACACGGGATGCCGTACACATGATGCTGTACTGTGCACGCTGTAGACGGGATGCTGTACTGGACGTGCTGTACACGGGATGCCGTACACATGATGTTGTACTGGGCGTGCTGTACACGGAATGATGTACTGGGCGTGCTGTACACGGGATGATGTACTGCGCGTGCTGTACACGGGATGATGTACTGGGCGTGCTGTACACGGGATGATGTACTGGGCGTGCTGTACACGGGATGCTGTACTGGGCGTGCTGTACACACGATGCTGTACTGCGGGTGCTATACACGGGATACTGTACTGTGCGTGCAGTACACGGGATGCTGAACTGAGCGTGCTGTACACGGGATAATGTACTGAGCGTGCTGTACACGGGATAATGTACTGCGCGTGCTATGCACGGGATGATGTACTGGGCGTGCTGTACACGGGATGATGTACACACGATGCTGTACTGAGCGTGCTGTAAGCGGGATCATCTACACGGGATGATGTAGACAAGATGATGTACTGGGCATGCTGTACACGGGATGATGTACTGGGCGTGCTGTACACGGGATGATGTACTGGGTGTGCTGTACACGGGGTGGTGTACTGGGCGTGCTGTACACGGGATGATGTACTTGGCATGCTGTACACGGGATGTTGTACTGGGTGTGCTGTACACGGGATGATGTACTGATCGTGCTGTACACGGGATGATGCACTGGGCGTGCTGTACACGGGATGCTGTACTGGGCGTACTGTACACGGGATTCCGTACACATGATGCTGTACTGTGCGTGCTGTATGTACTGGGCGTGCTGGGTAATAATGGGTGGTGTACCGGGCTTGTTGTGTTATACACGGGATGCTTTACTGGGCGTGCTGTACATGGGTTGCTGTACACACGATGCTGTACTGTGCGTGCTGTACACGGGATGCTTTACTGGTCGTGCTGTACACCGGATGCTGTATTGGGCATGTTGTATGCGGGATGTTGTACTGGGCGTGTTGTACACGTGATGATGTACTGAGCGTGCTGTACACGAGATGCTGTATTGGGCATGCTGCATGCGGGGTGTTGTACTGGGCGTGCTGTACACGGGATGATGTACTGCGCGTGCTATACACGGGATGATGTACTGGGCGTGCTGTACACGGGATGATGTACTGGGCGTGCTGTACTCGGGATGCTGTACTGGGCGTGCAGTACACACGATGCTGTACTACGCGTGCTATACACGGGATACTGTACTGTGCGTGCTGTACACGGGATGCTGTACTGAGCGTGCTGTACACGGGATGCTGTTCTGAGCGTGCTGTACACGGATACAGACACACGGAGGACCATGGAGGACCAAGCACACGTGGACACACACGAGTGGACCACACGGAGACAAGATGGACACACGGACACGGATGGACACACACGATGACACACGGACACACGGACACTGACACGGGACCACACGGACAGCACACACACACAAACACACGGATGGACAGGAAGACAGCACACGGACAGAAGACCGGACAAGGTGGAGGACACGGAGGACACACAGGCACACGGAGGACACACACGGACACACACGGACACAGCACACACGGAGGCACAGGCACACGGACACACAGCACACACGGAAGACACAGACACACACGGACACACGGGATGGACACACGGACACAAGGAAGAATGGATGGACACACGGATGGATGGACAGAACAATGGATGGACACACACACGGACACACGGACACACGGAGGCATGGATGGATGGACACACGGACACACACTGACGATCAGAACACACTGACACACATGGTCCCACATGGACACGGACACACGTGGACATGGACACACGGACACACGGACACAAAGGTGGACCACACGGATGATGTAGAAAGATGACACATGGATGGACATGCACACACGGGATGACACACACGGGACCAAGGAATGGACGACACACAACGGACGACCAAGCACAACGGACGATCACACGGACGGAATCAAGGACACAGACCAAGGACCACACATGGATCCGGCACACATGGACACACACGGACCAAGCCAAAATAACGACACAGACCAAAATAATGGACGACCACAACGGACAGGCTGGGCACATGTGGATGGAATCATGCACAGACAGAATCGAGACACACAGTGGACAACACGGATGGATCACACAACGGATGGACACCGGATGGAGACTGACACACACGACCACACACGGACACAAAATAACGGACAAACAGACAATGGAATAATGGACACACAGTGGCACGGATGATGGCACACGGATGACACACGACACACATAAAGAAATATGGACACGGATGGAGGAGGATGGAATATGGATGGATGGGACACAAAGAAGAATGGATGGATAATGGACAGGAAGAATGGAATGACACAGAAAATAATGGACACACATGGATAAAGGACAGGAATGGATAAGAAAGAATGGATAAAAAAAAGACAAAATATGGAGGATAATGGACAAGGAGACAAGAGAAACGAATGGATAATAGAGATGGAAGGAGGGACAGAAAATGGATAAAAAGAAGAATGGATAATATAAAGAAATAATGGATAAAGAATGGATAAAGAAGAAGAATGGATAAATAATGGAAAATAATGGATAAAAGGACAGGGAAAATAATGAAAGATGGAGGACACTGGATAAAAAGTGGATAAAGGGACAGGAAAGAAGAATGGATAGAATGGAGTGAATGAGATAAAGAATGGATGATAGACATGGATAATATGGATGGACAGGTGAATGGATAGTGGATATGAATAAAGGGACAGGAAAAGATGGATATTAGATAGTGAAGAATGGATGGAAGAATGGATAAAGAATGGACAGGAATGGATGGCCAGGTGAAGATGGATGATAAAGAAAAGAAGGGATTATTTAATGGATGGAGGTGGCATGGACATGGATATGGAAGGAATGGATGGATAATGGATGATAATGGATGGATGGTGGCATGGGGACAGTGAATGGATAAAGGGACAATGGATGGATGGAAGAATGGATGCCAAATAAAAGGATCGACGATGCACCGCGGCCATCGGACACCGCGTGCTGCAGGCATTGCACATCGATACGTAATCATCGCCCACGGACGCAGTGCCAAGGTCCCGTACATGTGGACGCCGCCAGATTCCATGCCGCACACGGACAATGCACCGAATGCCACACCGGTGACGTACCGGCGTGCACGATGCCAGACTGGGCGTGCTTGTACACGGGATGATGTACACTACGATGCTGTACTGAGCGTGCTGTAAGCGGGATCATCTACACGGGATGATGTAGACAAGATGATGTACTGGGCATGCTGTACACGGGATGATGTACTGGGCGTGCTGTACACGGGATGATGCTACTGGGTGTGCCGTACACGGGGTGGTGTACTGGGCGTGCTGTACACGGGATGATGTACTTGGCATGCTGTACACGGGATGTTGTACTGATCGTGCTGTACACGGGATGATGCACTGGGCGTGCTGTACACGGGATGCTGTACTGGGCGTACTGTACACGGGATTCCGTACACATGATGCTGTACTGTGCGTGCTGTACACGGGATGCTTTACTGGGCGTGCTGTACATGGGTTGCTGTACACACGATGCTGTACTGTGCGTGCTGTACACGGGATGCTTTACTGGTCGTGCTGTACACCGGATGCTGTATTGGGCATGCTGTATGCGGGATGTTGTACTGGGCGTGTTGTACACGGGATGCTGTACTGGGAGTGCTGTATACGGGATGATGTACTGCGCGGGCTATACACGGGATAATGTACTGGGTGTGCTGTAGGCGGGCTGTACACGGGATGATGTACTGGTCGTGCTCTACACGGGATGCAGTGCTGGGCGTCCTGTACAAGGGATGCTGTATTTGGCGTGCTGTACACGGGATAATGTACTGCGCGTGCTATACACGGGGTGATGTACTGGGCGTGCTGTGCACGGGATGCTGTACTGGGTGTGCTGTATG